TACGTTAGTTAGTTTAGTTTAGTTACGTACGTAGTAGTAGTGTAGTATATATATATATATATATATATATATATATATATGTGTGTGTGTGTCGTGTGTGTGTGTTGTGTGTGTGTGTGTGTGTGTATGTATATATATATATATATATATATATATATATATATAAATATATAAATATATTATAAACACTACAGTTCGACAGCGAAAAGCATGGTGTGGCATACTTTGCAAGGAAGGCATACTATCGCAAGCAGTAGATGTACAAAGTGTTTAACTAACGTGCGAGGAAACAGACTGCTTGTCTGAGCTCTGGGCTACTGAGTTCAAAGTGCCGCGTGAACAACTGAGCTACCAAGGCACCAGCGTCAACAGAATCAACAATCAACAGGATCAACAACGCATATACCAATTCGATCTCTTTCAAGTTTGGATCCTCCATGTTTGGCCTTGAATGTGTTTAACCAGTGCCCAAAATATGTTTTAGGAGTTCTGATGATATCTTATGCCAACCTCATCCTTTTTAAACACTCATTACTTGTAGACGGTACACGGCAGGCTACACATGAGAGTCACGACTTTTTAAAAAGACGACTCGCCTCATGGATCACAACTTCACAAGAAGAGCTATTTTTTTTTTAAATATAACAAAATTATGTATGTGTATGTATATCAGGTTTTTTTAATATAAAAAACATATTTTCGAACATGTCCATTTTTTTCTCTGCTAAATAATATCATATCAGACTGCTATCTCCGCTATATTAAAAAATATCATATCAGACGACAAAAACGGAAATAGTATTGTTTTGAAAAAAATGTTTTTTCCTCTAATATGTATTTAAAAAAATGAAATGTCTGCCTTCAAATTATACAAAATAAGTATATATTTTTAACAAATATGAATATGTGAACGAATGTCTTAATACGGCACTGGTGACAATAAAATTATTAATCACCTTAGGACTCAGGCCCAGTTTCCAATCAGTCTCGTACTTATACTTTTTCGAGTTTACTTTGCTTTTTTAAAATATGTAATTAGCGTGATTTTAGCCCATATATTGCACGTGTTGTATTAGTTCTTTGTCGGCCTCCGAGGAGAGGTCTACGTATGTTAGACACGAATAGTGTCAACTGTAAAACCATGGGCGAATCCAAAGCAATAGCTCAGTCAAAGGACGTCTATATACAAGTGTCTATCTGCTAACATATGTCAAGCCCCTAAGACGGACAAGGACCTAACATAAGTTCAACAAATGGGTTGTATCCGCGCTACAATATCTAACATTTAAGTCGAGCGCTTTCAGCCGACAGATAACAATCAAACCGGCAGAAAACAAACACATCTCACAAGTGCTTAAAATCCACGCGAATTACATTAATACACCTATATTTAAGCAAATTTAACTCGAAAAAGTGCAAGTATGAGACTGGTAGGAAGCTGGGGCTGAGTCCTGAGGTGGTTAATAGTTTTACTGTCACCAGGGCCGTATGAAGACATTCCTGTTTGCTTGTTTTTTATAGAAAACAAAAAAAATTACTTCAATGAAACACACCATTGATCATATTAAACTCTGGTAGATATCTAAATACATGAGTGTATAAAATATCTGTATTTATTACTCAAATAGCCTTCTAAATTATATATTTGTTTTTTTTATATTTACAAAGTTGTTCAATTTTCAGAAGGCTATGAGCCTATGACAATTGGCAAAGCCCTTTAAATTTTTAAATTTTACATTTTTGTACAGTACGTTTAAAAAAACCCCTATATACATAATTGTTTTTTTGTTTTTATGTTTTTGTTTTGTTTCTATATTTTTGAAAGTGACAAAAGTCAAAGTCATCAGAAGTCTGTATCTATTTGTTTCAATTTAGAAGGCGTTCAGACTCACTACAGAGGGGTAAATAGGGGTGGGGGACTGGGGGTCTGGGGCCCAGGGGGTGGCCTTGTAGGGGAGCTCTGCCACTGGGATGTGGGCTCACTGCTAGGGTGGGATGTGGCCTGTGGCCTGTGGCTGTGGGTCCCGCTAGAGCAAAGTACTGTGTAGAGGGTCTATTTTATTTATTTTAAATTTACCTAATGCTATGCCATATGCCGTATGGCTACTGGCTAAGCTCAATGCGTAACGATATGTAAATAGGACTCATATGTCATAATTGATGAGCACTGCTCATTCACGAATCACACGGCCATATTTTATTTCTTCTCTACTAGGGAGTCATGCAAATCAGTCACAGTCACAGAATACAGACATTAGATGGCCAATCACAGCATCACTGGCCTCCTTCCTATCTGTTGAAATGATGACTCAACACTCATGGGAGCTATAAATTTATATTTATAGGCCCATAGCCAAGTTTTTCACGAGAGTCACCAACATAAGGGTCTCGAATTATCCAACTCAGAATTTCAGAAACAGGAAACTCTCCAACACGACGAGAGAAGAGTCCAAACTGAAAACTCAGTGTCTCGTCCACACAACAACAGGAGAGAGAGAGAGAGAGAAGTCAGAAGAGTCGAAGACTGGTTTCAAGTTTCAACTTTCAACACCTCTGAGTATCTGAGATTCTGAGTCTCGAGTCTCTGATACTGATAAATTACACATTAACCATTCCCTCTCTTGGAAGAATATTTTTATATTTACTACCAATTGAAAGAGGATATTATTTAATACAAAAGCGTCGGTACCTTGAAGTAGCTAATAAATCGGCTTCATTTTGGGTTTTTTATTAATTTTATTATTATCCACAAATCACGTTGAAACTAAGATAACTAGTTATTACTTCCAACGAGAAAATGTCTTTAAAAAATGCTTCAACTTATCTTCCCTACACGTCGATTGGTTGATATGTTTGATCCCGGGTTAATCGTACAATCCCCTTCGGAAAAGGTTCTTAGGTCATTTGTATGGGAGTAAAAAATCAAGAAAGGGGCTTTTTTAAATTTCTGTATTTTTGTTTGATTGAGATTTGAGAAGGCTATGGTTTTCTGTAGAAAAATGTAAATACATAAGGCTCAATCACCAATAGTCTGGCGGCTGGCGGCTGGCGACTGGCATCTAGAGCAACTCATAAATAAGTGTTGAGAGCCAGAACGGACTCCGCTGTGACCATAATATGTTTATATGCAAATAGCCCTCCGTGTTCTCACTGCCGCCTTCATAGCTATAACTATTCAAATATCGGTCACAATATCACAAATTTTGCATGTATGCGAGCGGCGCATCTAAGAATATTCGTAAGTAAAAATGTAGAGCGCTCTGTATCGTACACCAAATAGAATCCATGTCAAACGAAAACAACAATATCTCAGCGTTCTACAAACATTTCTTTATTGTGAGTTTAGCCTCTTTTCACATCAGCAATCAGCAAATTCCAATCAAATGCGATTGTGAAACCTGTTCGCCGGTACCACCTGAACTGTAGTTGTGACGCATGTCTCATTCTACAGTCCTTTGTTGAAGTGCAGGGAATTTAACCCTCGATATTGTAAAATTAAAGGTTGCTAACAATACCAATTGTATATACTCTTGTTTGCCTATATATATACTTCAATACACACACACACACA